ACGAGAAGTGACCGAACCATATCCAATAGGGTCTAGTTCCTCCTCTCCGACACACCGTTTAACTGTGGTGTAGCGGGAGGGGCTAATTGTGATAATATCCCATTATCCTTTAAGTAGTCCCTGAATTCGTCAGAGAGATACTCACCACCCCGATCTGATCGAAGGGCTTTAATTTCTCTCCCTAACTGTTTCTCGACTTCTTGTCTGAACTCCTTGAACTTTTTAAAAGATTTAAACTTGTCTCATTAGGTACACGTAACCATACCGAGAATAATCATCGGTAAAGGTTATAAAAAAATGTGCTAATTACGTGTCCTAACATTCAGGGGACCACATACATCAGTATGTATAAGGTTAAGTGTGCTTGTAGATCTTCCAGGCTTACTGTTAAATGGCTGCTTCGTCATCTTACCCTGAAGGCAAGGTTCATAGGTTGGAAAATCTTCTACGGTTAGAAAATCCAAAAGACCATACTTTACCAACCTTGTGATACGATCTATGTTAATGTGGCCAAGTTGGTAATGCCACAAGCATGTGGGACTAACTATATCACGGTTTCTTTTCTTGGGGATTATTTCCGACGTAGTTTCGGTAATGTTTGTTTCCAAAGAGGGATAGAGGACATAGAGACCACTCTCAAGTTCCTCATATGCTAGGAATTGGTTATTCCGTTTAATAGTAATCACATTACTAAACAAAATAGAATAACCATCCATGCACAATTTTGAGACATAAATCAAATTTCTTCTTAAATTAGGTACGAAAAGATAATCTTTTAGTACAATAATTCCTTCTATGAAAACTAATTATACAGTGCCTATGGTCGTAGTTGCAACAGTTGCAGAAGTCCCCAAGTAAAGTGTCACTTCTCCATCACTCAATCTTCTGCTTATCTTGAACCCCTGCAACGAGTTACACACATGAGTTGAAGGCCCAGAGTCAATACATCAGGAAACTCAAGTGACCAACAAATTGGTCTCTATGATGAAAGAATCGGACATACATTGTTTCTTAGTCTCTAGGTATTGAAGACAATTCATCTTCTAGTAGTTGGTCTGCTTGCAGAAATGACAGGCATCCGATGCCTTATCTTTCTTTTGCTTTTTAGTTTTGCTACCCTTTTTCTAAGCTTTTCATTTAGCCTTCCGCTTTTTCTTGCTCGATTTGCCACCTTCAACAAGCACGGATATCGACTTATCCTTCTTAATCAGTTCTTCAGCCCTCTATAACATATTG